GGAGTTAGTTGCGACGGCAGCGGAAAGTTGCGGCAACAGCAGTGGCACACTGGGTCTGGACTAGTGCTGACTGTGGCAGAGATTTAAGAAGAAAAAATGGACTGCCCACTGAGATTTTAGGGGCTGTCAACGGCCATGGCGGTCGGCCGTCGGCAAACAGCAGAGACCACCAGAAGAGGATCTGAGAACTTGCTCTGATACCATGTTGAATATAGTGAAAAACTATATTTGGATTAATTTCCCTTGTGTAAAATACACACATAGGGTTCTTTATTTATAATAGAAGAAATATGGGCTAAGCCCAAAATATAAATGAGAAATAATAACAAACTAATTAAAAGATAAAAGATATAATATATCTAACACTTATTTTCCTTTTTAGGAGAATTAGATTGTTACAAATAGAGGACATGAGAATGTATTTTTTAAGATTTAAAATAATAAAATCAGTCCTTTTTCTACTGTAGTCACACATTAACCTTGTTTAATTTGCATTATTTGTTAAAAAATTTCTTATCATTCTTATGATCATATACAACTTATCTTAACATAGATATTTTCTCTCTCATCCCCGTACAGGTTGATTGCTTTCACGTGTTGCGGAAAAGTGATCCCCCCTTTGTTCCATCCACAATTTTCATCAAGAGAGGACTTACTTCATTTGTATGCATCTCCCTTTCAATCTCTACTTCTCCGTTTTTCTTATTTATTATATAAATAAATTATACCTGATATTTGTTTCTTGATCTTTAGTAAATGACATTTGATTCTACAGAACTAATGGAATTTCTTAGAGTAAATTTTTGGCCTTACATGATAATATATTAAAAGTACAGACTCCTATGCAGGCACTTTTACATGGCTAATATAAATAAGAGAGAACATCAAGACACTACTGCCATGCACAGATGTGTGTGTAACAATTGAAGTTAATTATAAGCAACATAAAAAGATCTTAAATGATAATCAAGATTTGTATGTTCATCTTCCTATTATAACGAGTCTTACAAACATGTGCTTAAGGGCTCCATTCTTGTAAACCTTGCATTTGGTAAGGTATTGGGTAACCTGAGAACTAGTGGAGGAAAAACTGATAGGAAAAGTGAAGAGTTACCGAGTGACATCGGTATAACTTACACCAACCATTACACTATCAGTAACAACTAACGTCAACTATTACACTATCAATAACTTCTTACAAAATATAATTTTTTCAAACCAACTATTGGATTATAACCATATAGTTGATTGTGTGTTAAATTTGATAAAAAAAATGAACAATAATATGGTGGTCAAATGATTCATATTGGTATGTATACCTTAAGAAGTATTTATCACGTTAATATTGATGTATATAAATAGGGTATAAATAATTTTGGGTCAATCTTTATTTTTGTAATCTATGTTGTTAAGAGCCGATAGCGACCCGATAGTTGGTAGAACAATAAATCCAACATATATCAGTTTCGCTAGAATAGGTTTTAAAACATGACTCTGATATCATGTTAATAAATGGACTTTAAGTTTAACTCAATTTTACAAAACCAATTTGTAAGATGAGGTATCAGTTTTGCTAGAATAGGTTTTAAAACATGACTCTGATATCATGTTAATAAATGGACTTTAAGTTTAACTCAATTTTACAAAACCGATTTGTAAGATGAGGTTTGTATCAAAATATATACTTTAAATTGCTCTTATCTCTAGTTGATGTGGAACTTCTAACATATGTAAAAGGAATTTTCAATCTAGTGGTGGGTTTTGAGAATAAATTTTTCAATCAAATAGACCTGTTTGTTCTATAAATTACACACACACACACACAAGTGAACTCCTTTAAGTACATGAGATAAAGCATCCTACATGAATCTGAAAAATTCATGAACCTTTGTTTTTAATGCGGCTACTTCCGAGATAGATCAGTTTCAATCAGAGCTTCTCTCATGGGTTCTAAATCGTTTATTCATATCTTTTTCACTAGGTCACCTTTGTAGTTACCCATTTCAATGATCCAAGAATATCAAGTGCAGATCTTAGGGATCTTCTTCTTCAGTCTATATCTGTCCTGGTGCAGTACAGGGAATATTTAGCTACCTTTGAGAGCAATGAGGCAGCCATCCAAAGGATGCCGAAAGCTTTATTATCAGCATTTGATAACAGATCCTGGACAACAGTCACGAACATACTCTTACGATTATGCAAGGGTTCTGGTTTTAGTTTTTCAAAGAATGGAGAATCATCTTCATCATCAGTTCTTTTTCAAGTATGTTAACAAACTCTTTTTGTTGCTGGGTAGTTTTTGCTTGGATCAATTTCTCGTCATAAAGTTCCCTCCCTGACTCTTGATGCAATGCAGAGGTTGCTAAGGGAAGCTTGCATAAGTGAGGAAGGATTGTTTTCGTCTTTTCTAAACCGACTGTTCAATACACTAAGCTGGACCATGACTGAATTTTCAGTTTCAGTTCGAGAAATGCAAGAAAAGTACCAGGTATGAATACATTTTTCCATCCTAGACTAAATTTGAATCTTGGTTTTAGGATCCTAAACCAGAAGAAGGTCTTCTTCTTGTGGTTCTAAGTTAGGTTCCGTAGCAGTATTACATATTCTGCATAGGTTCTGCGATTTCAGTTTCTTATGTGCTTACTTTTGTAGCTGATCCCTTTTTCTATTAATTTAACTTGGGTTCATTTCAAGTCATCGTGTGCATAAGATTGAAATGGTTTCTATAATTAGAATGGTAGCTTGACTAATTCAGAGTTTGATATATCCATTCCAATAACATATTGTTGCAACGCTTCTTGCACAGGTAATAGAGTTTCAGCAAAGGAAATGTTGTGTCATATTTGATCATTCATGTAATCTTGCAAGGATTCTGGAGTTCTGCACTCGTGAGATTCCTCAAGCATTCCTGTCTGGACCAGACACTAACTTACGAAGGTTAACCGAGTTGGTTGTATTTATCCTAAATCATATTACTTCTGCTGCCGATGCTGAATTCTTTGACTTGTAAGTTTCAATCCCATGACTTCAGAAAACCCTTGCTCTAGATACCATTTGAAAATAGGGAAAATTAGGTATATGATTAATTCCTTTTGTGTAGAAAAATACGTAATATATTTATAATGAAGAATAATAAAGGAAAATATATTTATAATGAAGAATAATAAAGGAAAATATGGACTAAGTTCAAATACACATAATATTGTAGCTAACAATATCATAACAACATCTAACAACTTAAATATACCAGAACTGAATGTATCCCCTCCTCACGCACTTGCACGGATTGATACATGAGAAACTGATATTCCAAGGTTCCTTGAGAATTTGTATCCAAATGAAAAAAAATATTTATCATTTGATTTTTAATGAGGCTGCCCTCTTTCTTATTTCTTTTCAGGTCCGTTAGACGTCATAGTCAATCTCCAGAAAAAATAAACCGAGGCATGATATTGGCCCCTTTAGTAGGGATCATCTTAAATTTATTGGATGCTACAAATTCTGAAGAATATCGAGAAAACAATGATCTTTTAGATGTTTTCGCAAGCATGGACTGTCCAGATACTGTTCAGTATGGATTCCAATATCTTCTGGATTATAACTGGGTTAGTTGTTGTAACCCTTAATCTATGTTCTTGATTCCCTGGTATTTGGAATGTAATTTTTTCTTTCTGACGCGTTTTTTATCCAATTTTTTGAAAATTTTAATTTGATGCTATCTAATGCTAAATTATTAATAAAGTCAACCCTTAAAGTTTGTTGGTACAAATCCGTCACAGTTTTGCAGACTTGCATTACCATATTAAAAGTTTATTTCTTGTGTCTATAATATAACCTCAACAATATCAAATGATAAGTGAGCTGTCTAAAAGTTGGTAATTCCTATACATGTCACGAATTTAGTTTTCTCTTGATCATTTGACACTATTCGGCTCTTTGATTTTCTCAGGATGGATCCTTTCGAGGGGAAGCTTATGTAGCAAAATATGAGCAGCTAGAGAATTTTCTTAGTCTCCTTACTTGCCGCACCGTATTACCACATGATAAAGTGGATAGTGTGGGAGATACAGATGTTGATGATAGGTTGTGCTGCATATGTTATGCATGTGAAGCAGATGCTCAAATTGCACCTTGTTCACACGAGTCTTGTTATGGCTGTATAACCAGGCACCTTTTGAACTGCCAAAGATGTTTCTTTTGCAACGGAACAGTGACAAGTATTATCAAATTTGCTTAGAAAATGGGTTAGGGAGCTTCTTTTTTGGTTGCTTGGTTCCTGGTGGGAGTCAGCCAGTCAGTAATTCATTATTTGCTTATTTTGTGAATTACATATATATAGAAATGGCTAGTAACTGTAAAGGAAAACAGAAAAGGAAAAAAGGGAGAAGAAAAATAGAGGGAGCAGGGTGTAATCGGGTAGGAGTTAATAGTGTTCTTGATGATGGTGTCGCCACAGGCGAATTAAGAATTTTGTAGGCTGTTAGAGGGTATTATGTTGTAAATATGCGATGTAAATGATAGGCAGATCATGATGTTAAACTTTAGTAAAGCAAAATGGTTAGATGCATGGAGATTAATTTATAAAAATATGGGTGAAAAAGTTCCTTGACAAAGGTCATGTGAGTGTACAGGGATAAATTAGTACGTATCACATGGCTTATGATATTTAATTACAAAATTAGAAAATATATTACAATTCTAAGGAACTAAAGTCAATTCAAATTGAGCAAGAGAATTTCATAAATTTAGTTTCTTATGTTTCTTATATTTTAAACAAAATATAAAGTCAATTTAACTTCAAGGTAATATTTTTATATTTGTCCGGAGCTTCCTAGAAATTATTAAATCATATGGGATTCACTCCTTCATTTAATAAATGTTAAATAATAATAATCCATTTTTGAAGTTGGGCATGTCCCAGACAGTTCACCTCCGGGTGTTCCTCCCTACACTACCACAACTTGNACATGAATCTGAAAAATTCATGAACCTTTGTTTTTAATGCGGCTACTTCCGAGATAGATCAGTTTCAATCAGAGCTTCTCTCATGGGTTCTAAATCGTTTATTCATATCTTTTTCACTAGGTCACCTTTGTAGTTACCCATTTCAATGATCCAAGAATATCAAGTGCAGATCTTAGGGATCTTCTTCTTCAGTCTATATCTGTCCTGGTGCAGTACAGGGAATATTTAGCTACCTTTGAGAGCAATGAGGCAGCCATCCAAAGGATGCCGAAAGCTTTATTATCAGCATTTGATAACAGATCCTGGACAACAGTCACGAACATACTCTTACGATTATGCAAGGGTTCTGGTTTTAGTTTTTCAAAGAATGGAGAATCATCTTCATCATCAGTTCTTTTTCAAGTATGTTAACAAACTCTTTTTGTTGCTGGGTAGTTTTTGCTTGGATCAATTTCTCGTCATAAAGTTCCCTCCCTGACTCTTGATGCAATGCAGAGGTTGCTAAGGGAAGCTTGCATAAGTGAGGAAGGATTGTTTTCGTCTTTTCTAAACCGACTGTTCAATACACTAAGCTGGACCATGACTGAATTTTCAGTTTCAGTTCGAGAAATGCAAGAAAAGTACCAGGTATGAATACATTTTTCCATCCTAGACTAAATTTGAATCTTGGTTTTAGGATCCTAAACCAGAAGAAGGTCTTCTTCTTGTGGTTCTAAGTTAGGTTCCGTAGCAGTATTACATATTCTGCATAGGTTCTGCGATTTCAGTTTCTTATGTGCTTACTTTTGTAGCTGATCCCTTTTTCTATTAATTTAACTTGGGTTCATTTCAAGTCATCGTGTGCATAAGATTGAAATGGTTTCTATAATTAGAATGGTAGCTTGACTAATTCAGAGTTTGATATATCCATTCCAATAACATATTGTTGCAACGCTTCTTGCACAGGTAATAGAGTTTCAGCAAAGGAAATGTTGTGTCATATTTGATCATTCATGTAATCTTGCAAGGATTCTGGAGTTCTGCACTCGTGAGATTCCTCAAGCATTCCTGTCTGGACCAGACACTAACTTACGAAGGTTAACCGAGTTGGTTGTATTTATCCTAAATCATATTACTTCTGCTGCCGATGCTGAATTCTTTGACTTGTAAGTTTCAATCCCATGACTTCAGAAAACCCTTGCTCTAGATACCATTTGAAAATAGGGAAAATTAGGTATATGATTAATTCCTTTTGTGTAGAAAAATACGTAATATATTTATAATGAAGAATAATAAAGGAAAATATATTTATAATGAAGAATAATAAAGGAAAATATGGACTAAGTTCAAATACACATAATATTGTAGCTAACAATATCATAACAACATCTAACAACTTAAATATACCAGAACTGAATGTATCCCCTCCTCACGCACTTGCACGGATTGATACATGAGAAACTGATATTCCAAGGTTCCTTGAGAATTTGTATCCAAATGAAAAAAAATATTTATCATTTGATTTTTAATGAGGCTGCCCTCTTTCTTATTTCTTTTCAGGTCCGTTAGACGTCATAGTCAATCTCCAGAAAAAATAAACCGAGGCATGATATTGGCCCCTTTAGTAGGGATCATCTTAAATTTATTGGATGCTACAAATTCTGAAGAATATCGAGAAAACAATGATCTTTTAGATGTTTTCGCAAGCATGGACTGTCCAGATACTGTTCAGTATGGATTCCAATATCTTCTGGATTATAACTGGGTTAGTTGTTGTAACCCTTAATCTATGTTCTTGATTCCCTGGTATTTGGAATGTAATTTTTTCTTTCTGACGCGTTTTTTATCCAATTTTTTGAAAATTTTAATTTGATGCTATCTAATGCTAAATTATTAATAAAGTCAACCCTTAAAGTTTGTTGGTACAAATCCGTCACAGTTTTGCAGACTTGCATTACCATATTAAAAGTTTATTTCTTGTGTCTATAATATAACCTCAACAATATCAAATGATAAGTGAGCTGTCTAAAAGTTGGTAATTCCTATACATGTCACGAATTTAGTTTTCTCTTGATCATTTGACACTATTCGGCTCTTTGATTTTCTCAGGATGGATCCTTTCGAGGGGAAGCTTATGTAGCAAAATATGAGCAGCTAGAGAATTTTCTTAGTCTCCTTACTTGCCGCACCGTATTACCACATGATAAAGTGGATAGTGTGGGAGATACAGATGTTGATGATAGGTTGTGCTGCATATGTTATGCATGTGAAGCAGATGCTCAAATTGCACCTTGTTCACACGAGTCTTGTTATGGCTGTATAACCAGGCACCTTTTGAACTGCCAAAGATGTTTCTTTTGCAACGGAACAGTGACAAGTATTATCAAATTTGCTTAGAAAATGGGTTAGGGAGCTTCTTTTTTGGTTGCTTGGTTCCTGGTGGGAGTCAGCCAGTCAGTAAGTCATTATTTGCTTATTTTGTGAATTACATATATACAGAAATGGCTAGTAACTGTAAAGGAAAACAGAAAAGGAAAAAAGGGAGAAGAAAAATAGAGGGAGCAGGGTGTAATCGGGTAGGAGTTAATAGTGTTCTTGATGATGGTGTCGCCACAGGCGAATTAAGAATTTTGTAGGCTGTTAGAGGGTATTATGTTGTAAATATGCGATGTAAATGATAGGCAGATCATGATGTTAAACTTTAGTAAAGCAAAATGGTTAGATGCATGGAGATTAATTTATAAAAATATGGGTGAAAAAGTTCCTTGACAAAGGTCATGTGAGTGTACAGGGATAAATTAGTACGTATCACATGGCTTATGATATTTAATTACAAAATTAGAAAATATATTACAATTCTAAGGAACTAAAGTCAATTCAAATTGAGCAAGAGAATTTCATAAATTTAGTTTCTTATGTTTCTTATATTTTAAACAAAATATAAAGTCAATTTAACTTCAAGGTAATATTTTTATATTTGTCCGGAGCTTCCTAGAAATTATTAAATCATATGGGATTCACTCCTTCATTTAATAAATGTTAAATAATAATAATCCATTTTTGAAGTTGGGCATGTCCCAGACAGTTCACCTCCGGGTGTTCCTCCCTACACTACCACAACTTGCTTCCTCTACCACTCCATTCCTTTTTTACCATTTTCTTTATTTTTTCATTCCTATTTTATCCTTATTAAAATTTTATGATTAATATTATTTAAAATCTCATATGAACATTCATTCTTTTTATCATTCTTCCTTCTTTTATATGACAATTATTCTTCTTTTGTTAAATTTTATGGTTTAATAATCTCAATAATTTATACATTTAAAATTTTATTTTATCGATAATCTATTTTATATATATATATATATATATATATATATAATGATTATTACATGTATATTAATATGATATTTTCTTATCATATTTAGTTTAAAATTTAGTTTCAGTTTTCATATTAAAAAAGAATAAAAATTGTATTTTTTTTATAAAACTAAATGACACAACCGTTCAACTCGCTCAATGTAATAAGTTAAGTGAAATTTAACTTTTGAAATCGAATGACAAATGAACCAAATTGGATTTGGCTACTAAATCATTAAATAATATTGATTTAGTTTAATGCGTGTAAGGCTGTAAACTTCTGACAAACAAACTGGGCCATTTTTTTTCAAATTATCAGAAGCAATTTATCTGAATAATTTATTTCAAATTGCAAATTTAAACTTCATATCAATGTACAAGGAAACATAAATTAAAATTAGAAAATTTAAACATGTATGCCTTAAAGTTACAGGCCATAAAAGAGAAAATAGAGATATGTTAAAGTAGTGCGATTGTTATCAACATGTACGGGCAGTTTTCTTCCTTCACCGTCAGCAAAATCTAAAAACACTACCATAGTAGCAACACTGTTTTTCACTTTATCCCGTTTTTTCTGCAGAAACAATTTTCGAAACAAGAGAGAGAGAGAGTTACAACGCTGATTGAAACGACCCAACCGTTAAACGACCCAACCGTTAAATATACAGGCAAAAAACGGAGGTTGGGCATCCGTTTGGATCTGAAACGGATGTCGACATCCGTCGACGGATCTCGACATCCGTTTCAGATCCAAACGGATGTCCGACCTCCGTTTTTCCTGGTTATCTTCTTCCTTTATCTCAACACACGCACACAGCAGAAAAAAAGCAGAGGAGCTGCCCAACACAGAGCAAAAATATATGCATTACATTTAAAAAAAAATTTAAAAATATCATCATTAACCTTGTGGGAGAAATCACCACCACACTTCACCGTCGTACCACCGCCGTACCGCCGCACTGCCGTACCGTCGCACACCGCCCACCGCTGAAGGAGGAAGAAAATTTGTATGGAGGAAAAATGGAAGATGAGAATGATGGTGTTTGGGTGAGAATCTGAGAAGGTTGGGAGGTGGATGAGAAGGGGTAAAAATATAGATTTTAGGGTTAAAGTAAATAATTAAAATTAAAAAGTATAAAGGTTATTTTTGTAATTATAAAAGGTTAGTTTTGTAATTCAGAAAATATATAATAGAATTGGGGAAGTGGAGGGAGAAAATGTGGTGGTGGAGGGAGTAACACCCTTCACCTCCTTATTGGGGCCCAAAAATGTACAGAAGGCGAGGCCCAACTGAGTATTTTCTGAGAGAACCATTGGTGGTATATGCTATGTTTGTATCGCTCTATTCGTCTCGCAGAGAGAAGAAATGCCGAGTGCTCTGCAATTCCAAGCTTCACGCCCAAGCACCATAGCTCCACTCACGAGGCACGTTTTTTCCGCCAACCTTCACTCACACCGTAGTCTCTCATTCACCAAACTTTCTTCCCTTCCCCAACCTCTGTACTCCTTCACCGTACAACCCTCACATCACACCTCCGCAGTCGGATCTCCGTCGCTCCAACACTGGAACCTCACCAGCCGCCACGTCACCGTTCTCAACGTCTTTGCCTGCGCGGTACCGTTCACGCTCTCCCTAAACAAACCTCATATCATCTCTTATCATTCTTCAATTAACGGAACCTGTGTGTATTGTCTCGTGCAGACGGCGGCATGTGCAACGTGGCTATTCTTCTCCGCGATTCCCACGCTCCTGGTTTGTGTTCTCTATTTTTGTGTTTTGATTTTGCGAGGTCTTAGTTTCTGATCCTGGGAATGTGATGTGATGTAAAGGCTTTCAAGAAAGCAGCGGAATCGATGGAGAAGCTGATGGATGCCACAAGGGAGGAGCTTCCCAACACCATGGCCGCTATTCGATTATCCGGCATGGAAATCAGTGACTTAACCACAGAGCTCAGTGATATAGGGTAATTTTTTTATTTATCATTAAACTGTAAATCCCAATCAAGAAAACTAGTTTTATTCCTTTCACATACTTATCAGTTAAATCATCCCTGTTATTAAGCGTGCTTGCCATTAGCACCGCCATAAAACTCTTTAACAGCCTAATCATTACAAAATTTCATGACCAATGTAAAACTGATAGCACATGAGGACATGAACAACTCTTTGTAGCGATTTTTGTTCGCCTCATCCATGTGCTCATGTAGTAGTAACTGAAACTTGAAATGAACCACTGATTTAAATATATAGCATGTTACGGTAGTTCTATAAGACTAGGAAAGGTCTCAAATAAGTCTCTGGCAGTGTGATGATTAATTGCATTAGCCTAAATTAAAAAAACGTGTGATGTGATATTATTATTATTATTATTATTATTATTACTATTACTATTATTATTATTATTAATTAATTAATTAAATCTCAATATTTAAGGGAATAATTAGACATTGTAGAGATTTTTTTAAGGCCTATCGCCTTACATTTTAAGGGAATAAATTGGTGGTAGTCTTTAAGACTTAGAGTCAATTGTTTAAGCTTTTATTTATTAATTTATTTTTTCTTTCAATTTTTTTGCTCCTTTTTTCTTGGTAGTATAATGTTAATGCTACTTTCACTTGTGTGGGGTGGTATAGCCAAGAGATTACTCAAGGTGTTCGAAGCTCAACTCGTGCAGTTCGCTTGGCGGAGGAGAGGCTTCGCCGTTTGACTACTGTGCCTTCTTCAGGTTACGAACCAATCATGACAGTTTAAGTTAGGTTCCTGTGATTTTAGTTTTTTGGTCGGGGCAAGCAAAGCAGTTTTACTCCATGTTTTTCACTTTGTTATAGCTTCGTTGCAGGGAACGATCAATTCGAAAGCCGAGGATAGTGATGAGCCTGCGGTGGCCAGAACAGCAAGGGGCGTGAGAGAGGGTATTGTCAAGGGCCGTGCTATGTTGCAAATGTTTTTCACCTTCACCCAATTTTCAAGGTTTGCTCTCAAATTTATCTCTGGTCGTAGAAAATTGTCAAGCTAGCATCTTGCCTTGGAAGCCAACATCACACTGTACACTGGCTTTATCTTGGAAAAAAAAAATCAGTTTTGATACACTTACACATATTTGACACATGTATTCTTACTCTCCCATCCGGTGTCTTTTATCTTCTACTTGTTCATGGATGGTTTGGTCATAAACTTTTGCCATTCGCTAGTTACACATTGCAATACAAACTTTTCTCTGTATTGCGGGGAGGTGACCACCAAATGCGACCATGCGGTGGTGACCCATTCCTGTGTTGACTTCATCCTTGTTATTATATGTTAAATCACCTTCGACCCATATCAGTTAAATAAAATATATAATTAGAGGTAACCTAAAACAAATGGTCGACTAATCGGGAAGTATGAGTTCTGAAACTGGATCATTGGTCATCGCGCTTATTACTGTTTCGTTTTCGATGTCGTAAGACGAGGTGAACAGTCAACTTACGAGAAGCGAACTGGGATGGGATAGCATTGAGATATGTGGTAATTGAAAATGAAATGTATTTAACCCGAGAAAGTAAATCATGGGAATGATAAACATTAGCAATGTCAAGGTAGCACAATTCTTGAACTAGACGAGAGGTTGCTGTAATTGGTGGTTTGGAAAGGAAAAAAAGGTTTTTTTAGCGTTTGTTAGGCTCTGTTCGAGCAAGTACAAAAAATCCTTGTATTGCTTCTTGCAAGCAACCTTTTTAAGGTCGTTGATTTTGCGTCATTACTAGCAAAATATATTGATTTCTAAACACCATCAATCCCTTTGGGTTGATTTCAATATTTTTAATAATTATAGAAATGGGCTTATTAAGAGATTTGACTTTGAAAATAAATCTTATTGAGTGATTTACAAAGATAATATACAAATCAAACCGAGTCGGTCTAAAGAATTGAAGAACCAAGTCCTTCGTTTATGCCAACGAAATTAAGTTGCCAAGTACAAATCAAGTAAAGAAACNTTATCGATAATCTATTTTATATATATATATATATATATATATATATAATGATTATTACATGTATATTAATATGATATTTTCTTATCATATTTAGTTTAAAATTTAGTTTCAGTTTTCATATTAAAAAAGAATAAAAATTGTATTTTTTTTATAAAACTAAATGACACAACCGTTCAACTCGCTCAATGTAATAAGTTAAGTGAAATTTAACTTTTGAAATCGAATGACAAATGAACCAAATTGGATTTGGCTACTAAATCATTAAATAATATTGATTTAGTTTAATGCGTGTAAGGCTGTAAACTTCTGACAAACAAACTGGGCCATTTTTTTTCAAATTATCAGAAGCAATTTATCTGAATAATTTATTTCAAATTGCAAATTTAAACTTCATATCAATGTACAAGGAAACATAAATTAAAATTAGAAAATTTAAACATGTATGCCTTAAAGTTACAGGCCATAAAAGAGAAAATAGAGATATGTTAAAGTAGTGCGATTGTTATCAACATGTACGGGCAGTTTTCTTCCTTCACCGTCAGCAAAATCTAAAAACACTACCATAGTAGCAACACTGTTTTTCACTTTATCCCGTTTTTTCTGCAGAAACAATTTTCGAAACAAGAGAGAGAGAGAGTTACAACGCTGATTGAAACGACCCAACCGTTAAACGACCCAACCGTTAAATATACAGGCAAAAAACGGAGGTTGGGCATCCGTTTGGATCTGAAACGGATGTCGACATCCGTCGACGGATCTCGACATCCGTTTCAGATCCAAACGGATGTCCGACCTCCGTTTTTCCTGGTTATCTTCTTCCTTTATCTCAACACACGCACACAGCAGAAAAAAAGCAGAGGAGCTGCCCAACACAGAGCAAAAATATATGCATTACATTTAAAAAAAAATTTAAAAATATCATCATTAACCTTGTGGGAGAAATCACCACCACACTTCACCGTCGTACCACCGCCGTACCGCCGCACTGCCGTACCGTCGCACACCGCCCACCGCTGAAGGAGGAAGAAAATTTGTATGGAGGAAAAATGGAAGATGAGAATGATGGTGTTTGGGTGAGAATCTGAGAAGGTTGGGAGGTGGATGAGAAGGGGTAAAAATATAGATTTTAGGGTTAAAGTAAATAATTAAAATTAAAAAGTATAAAGGTTATTTTTGTAATTATAAAAGGTTAGTTTTGTAATTCAGAAAATATATAATAGAATTGGGGAAGTGGAGGGAGAAAATGTGGTGGTGGAGGGAGTAACACCCTTCACCTCCTTATTGGGGCCCAAAAAGGTACAGAAGGCGAGGCCCAACTGAGTATTTTCTGAGAGAACCATTGGTGGTATATGCTATGTTTGTATCGCTCTATTCGTCTCGCAGAGAGAAGAAATGCCGAGTGCTCTGCAATTCCAAGCTTCACGCCCAAGCACCATAGCTCCACTCACGAGGCACGTTTTTTCCGCCAACCTTCACTCACACCGTAGTCTCTCATTCACCAAACTTTCTTCCCTTCCCCAACCTCTGTACTCCTTCACCGTACAACCCTCACATCACACCTCCGCAGTCGGATCTCCGTCGCTCCAACACTGGAACCTCACCAGCCGCCACGTCACCGTTCTCAACGTCTTTGCCTGCGCGGTACCGTTCACGCTCTCCCTAAACAAACCTCATATCATCTCTTATCATTCTTCAATTAACGGAACCTGTGTGTATTGTCTCGTGCAGACGGCGGCATGTGCAACGTGGCTATTCTTCTCCGCGATTCCCACGCTCCTGGTTTGTGTTCTCTATTTTTGTGTTTTGATTTTGCGAGGTCTTAGTTTCTGATCCTGGGAATGTGATGTGATGTAAAGGCTTTCAAGAAAGCAGCGGAATCGATGGAGAAGCTGATGGATGCCACAAGGGAGGAGCTTCCCAACACCATGGCCGCTATTCGATTATCCGGCATGGAAATCAGTGACTTAACCACAGAGCTCAGTGATATAGGGTAATTTTTTTATTTATCATTAAACTGTAAATCCCAATCAAGAAAACTAGTTTTATTCCTTTCACATACTTATCAGTTAAATCATCCCTGTTATTAAGCGTGCTTGCCATTAGCACCGCCATAAAACTCTTTAACAGCCTAATCATTACAAAATTTCATGACCAATGTAAAACTGATAGCACATGAGGACATGAACAACTCTTTGTAGCGATTTTTGTTCGCCTCATCCATGTGCTCATGTAGTAGTAACTGAAACTTGAAATGAACCACTGATTTAAATATATAGCATGTTACGGTAGTTCTATAAGACTAGGAAAGGTCTCAAATAAGTCTCTGGCAGTGTGATGATTAATTGCATTAGCCTAAATTAAAAAAACGTGTGATGTGATATTATTATTATTATTATTATTATTATTACTATTACTATTATTATTATTATTAATTAATTAATTAAATCTCAATATTTAAGGGAATAATTAGACATTGTAGAGATTTTTTTAAGGCCTATCGCCTTACATTTTAAGGGAATAAATTGGTGGTAGTCTTTAAGACTTAGAGTCAATTGTTTAAGCTTTTATTTATTAATTTATTTTTTCTTTCAATTTTTTTGCTCCTTTTTTCTTGGTAGTATAATGTTAATGCTACTTTCACTTGTGTGGGGTGGTATAGCCAAGAGATTACTCAAGGTGTTCGAAGCTCAACTCGTGCAGTTCGCTTGGCGGAGGAGAGGCTTCGCCGTTTGACTACTGTGCCTTCTTCAGGTTACGAACCAATCATGACAGTTTAAGTTAGGTTCCTGTGATTTTAGTTTTTTGGTCGGGGCAAGCAAAGCAGTTTTACTCCATGTTTTTCACTTTGTTATAGCTTCGTTGCAGGGAACGATCAATTCGAAAGCCGAGGATAGTGATGAGCCTGCGGTGGCCAGAACAGCAAGGGGCGTGAGAGAGGGTATTGTCAAGGGCCGTGCTATGTTGCAAATGTTTTTCACCTTCACCCAATTTTCAAGGTTTGCTCTCAAATTTATCTCTGGTCGTAGAAAATTGTCAAGCTAGCATCTTGCCTTGGAAGCCAACATCACACTGTACACTGGCTTTATCTTGGAAAAAAAAAATCAGTTTTGATACACTTACACATATTTGACACATGTATTCTTACTCTCCCATCCGGTGTCTTTTATCTTCTACTTGTTCATGGATGGTTTGGTCATAAACTTTTGCCATTCGCTAGTTACACATTGCAATACAAACTTTTCTCTGTATTGCGGGGAGGTGACCACCAAATGCGACCATGCGGTGGTGACCCATTCCTGTGTTGACTTCATCCTTGTTATTATATGTTAAATCACCTTCGACCCATATCAGTTAAATAAAAGATATAATTAGAGGTAACCTAAAACAAATGGTCGACTAATCGGGAAGTACGAGTTCTGAAACTGGATCATTGGTCATCGCGCTTATTACTGTTTCGTTTTCGATGTCGTAAGACGAGGTGAACAGTCAACTTACGAGAAGCGAACTGGGATGGGATAGCATTGAGATATGTGGTAATTGAAAATGAAATGTATTTAACCCGAGAAAGTAAATCATGGGAATGATAAACATTAGCAATGTCAAGGTAGCACAATTCTTGAACTAGACGAGAGGTTGCTGTAATTGGTGGTTTGGAAAGGAAAAAAAGGTTTTTTTAGCGTTTGTTAGGCTCTGTTCGAGCAAGTACAAAAAATCCTTGTATTGCTTCTTGCAAGCAACCTTTTTAAGGTCGTTGATTTTGCGTCATTACTAGCAAAATATATTGATTTCTAAACACCATCAATCCCTTTGGGTTGATTTCAATATTTTTAATAATTATAGAAATGGGCTTATTAAGAGATTTGACTTTGAAAATAAATCTTATTGAGTGATTTACAAAGATAATATACAAATCAAACCGAGTCGGTCTAAAGAATTGAAGAACCAAGTCCTTCGTTTATGCCAACGAAATTAAGTTGCCAAGTACAAATCAAGTAAAGAAACCACAGCTGTCAATTCTTAAGAATATGAAATGCTTATTTTTGCGTCATTTTTTTATTATTGTAGTGTGATCTGAGTCTTGCGCTTTCTCATAAAATGAAATTTTGCATTTTATTATTATTATAATTATTTATCCCTACTGCCTACTTAATATATTATTATATCTCGAAACAAAAGTTTCCATTACATTTGTATAAATAAACTTATATGTATATATATTTTTACTTGTTATTCGTGTTAGTTAGTACTCTTTTAATTTTGTGCGGCTGAATGAAACGGTTACATAACTTTATTTTGAAATTCCTTAGTGAATTCAGTAACTGTTATTAGTTAAAAAAAATGTAAAGTTTTTCTAGAAGTTTAGTTTCGTTATATTTCTTTTAATAAAAATCGCGAAAGTAAAAACGTTACTTTTATTACAAGCAAATAATGTGCATATTTCATTTTTGTGGACAATATCAATAATAATGGATTTGATTAAACATATATGATTTTCTTCTAAAACTAAACATATCAAATAGCACATCAGAAATTTACAAACTTAACTAAAAACATATTCATTCTAAAAATAGTCACAATCAAGCCAACCCAATATCATATTTAGTGGTGGGCTTCACCTCTTAATGTTAAATTGCTCGCTATTATTCCCAAAACCATGAATATAATTACCATTGTTTTTTCAATAAATATATTAAGGGACGGTGTCTAAATCAGATATTGCGTGCGTAAGGGAACTTATTTTTTTTTTCTTTACGCAATTATTGATGGTGTTAATTTATTAAATTAAGCACGAATGATTATGCTAGAAGACATAATAGAATCTGCAGGGCAACAAGAGAATTGATTGAGAAAATTGTTAATAATGATAAGAATTACATAATTTCTATAATCAGCTCTGTTTTCTTTTTCTACTCCTTGTTGAAGGTGTATCAGATGAAGAATCCAGGCCGAAACATTTGAGAAATGCTACCGAGGCTAACTGAAGATAATGGCATGGCTGAAAATACAGTGATGATGATGATGATGATGATGAATCCTCTTCCTCTACAATCTCTTCTTCCACCCTCATGCTTCCACCCCTTTTTATTTCTCCTTTTATAACTACATTCTCCCCACCCTAACAAAACATCCTCAAAGTTACAACAACAAGAACATAAAAAAAGTATATAGAGATAAGAAAAGTACAACAACAACCAAAAAAGGTATATTTTCATAGAAGGTATAAAAAACTATACCCATCCCTCATCATATAAAAATTTAATATGAAATTATTTGTTTTGGGAAAATTGGGCTTTTCATAAACTTTACCTTTATTTGACCCTTCCTTACCTAATATCCTTTGAGAGGAAAAGTATATAATGTTGGTCAACATACACAGGAACACACATGACCGGCTAATAAAAAAAAACAAAACGGCAATCAACCACATAAAACCGGTGTTTTCTTATCAAATCAAATGTTGAAATGATAAATACAACAAATCACCAAAATCTAAGTTCAATTTCATAGATGTCCTTTTATCTTCTGTCAGACACCAAAATTAGAATTTCATACTTGCTACCGTGCAATATTGGTGAAAACTAATTATTATATCGAATTTCAATTCTCCTACCCTTGTTTCTTCTTATTATCAAAATAATTTCTTCCAGACTGGCAACAAACTTCTCTTATCTCCTACAATAAATAAACCCCAAAATCAATAATTTTTAATGCCCAAAAAAGCAAATGTAAAATACTGCACGCCTGGAACAGGATGACCATAACCATTTTCTGATACAGATACCACAATAACAACCTAAGGAAAACATAAAATGACTAAAATCCAATCCAAGAAAAGCTGGACTGCACCGTGTCCCAAGTTTACGCAACAAAGCAATTTTTTTTCATTTTTTTCTCTCTTCCAGTTAAAGGATGCAACACGGTCCAATTTGGGGGCAAAAACACATTCTCTCACACACACAAATTAGTCAAGAGAATTGGTGCAGTTGATAATAAAAGAATTCGATTTTCGGTTAAGATGTGATCTTGCTGGATCCGAGAACCACCCAGTTCATCTAAACTTATTTTTTAAAAACAAAAATAAAAGAAAAAACAGATTTGGTTACAGGATTCTAAAAACCAACTTCAAAACACGAACAGAAAAAGAAGAAGAAGAGTTCCAAAACACTCCGTAAAGTTTTGAACAGTACTAAGCAATCAACCAGGCTGGGAATTAACAAAAGAAAAAAGAAAAATCCATGGACCTTTTTCCTTGGAGTAAAAGCGAAAATTAAAATTTAAAACTTTAATTTCGCAAGAGAGAAAAGATGGGTTACCTGCAGCAAACGGTGTTGAGGAGTGGTTGTTGAATGAGAGGGCGATGAATCGTGAATAGGCTGCGGTAACTCAATCTGCTGAATAGCATCGAAGAGGAAGAAATTGGAAGAGGTCGACGGAGGAGTAGTGCCGGCGGTGATGAGGTTGTCGGCGGGATCCAAAGGGAAGACGACAAAGAAAAAGAGAAGTAGAAAGAGGAGAAGAAGAACAAGTAGTTGAGTGAAAATCAGGCATGGAATTGCGTTGCTCTCTGTGGTGAGTTCTTCCTCACCAAATCCCAACATGTTAAATCTGGAAACATGGGTTTTTGATGATCACAGCGAGAGAAAGAGAGAGAGAAACCAACGTTAGAGAACAAAGTAAGATATCAAGAATGACTCAAACGACGTCGCCCTGGCCGTTCCATTGTCTCCTGCTAAGGAAAAGAAAACTAAGAAGTAAATAAAATTAACAATGAGGGGCGCGTGCATCACGCGCTTCTCGACCTTTCTTTGAAAGAATGGGAATGTTTTCAACACACTGGATTTTGTCTTAAAAAATGCATTTGTTCTATTAATAAGCTTTTTACTTCACACTGCTTTCTAATTTAAATAATATAACACTGTTTTTATCAAATACTTTCTTAATTTTGTAATGTTACACAATTGTTACGTCAAACATATTTAGATAAAACTTTTATTAATAGGATTTTCATCATTAATTCTTGTTAGGTTAATTTTTTTACAGCTACACTGTTGATTAAAATAAATAAAATATTTTATTACAAATATTTTTTATTTAGAAAATGGAAAGTATATAATTATACAATCAAAATACAGTTCTCTATGATATATTCAAAATTTATATTATTATTCAAAACTATAATCTCACAAGTAATAGAGAGATAAATGCCTCGTTAAATTCTAATTTTATAATTAACATATGTGTTAAATATTTTTTTAGTCCCTAAACTATTGGTCGTTTCTGATTTTCGTCTCTATTTCAAAGTAAGGTACAATTCGGTCCTCATTCTTTTCGAAACGTTCGTTTTAGTCCTCGGAATTTTGGTTTTAGTCCTCATTTGTTGCTAAATAAGGACCAAATTTTTAAACAGTATTTAATTTTTGAGGATTTTTAAACAGTATTTAATTTTTGAGGACTAAAACGAACGTTTCGAAAAGAATGAGGACCAAATTGTACCTTACTTTGAAATAGAGACGAAAATCAGAGACCAATAGTTTAGGGACTAAAAACATATTTAACTCTTAACATATAATGTTAAAGTAAATTATTAAATAAAACGATAAAAAGGAGTTATTTTATTTATATTAAATAATAAATATATCACTTATTTGAATCAAATTCTTAAAAATCTAATTACCTTAGTTTATACTTTTATATTACTTTAATTATCTTAATTAATATTTTACTTTTAATCTAATCATTATTAAAGATAAGGAATATAAAAGAATAATAGACAAATACGT